ACAAATAGTAGGGACCTTGCGAGTTAAAAAAATAAGTTAGGGACTAAACATGCAAATTACCCAAAACCATAGGGACCGTTTGTGTAATTTACTCTTTTTGTAATACTGATATCCTCTTAGAGATTTGTAAACACACAATAAAGATGCATCTACTTACCTTATCATGAATCAAGTTTACTAGAATTTGTCTTAACATCATAGCAAACACAACCAAAATTCGATAAGTCTATTGTAATATTCCTTTTATATGTTCATAAGTTGTATAGATTCTTGTTTGTATTATCACTTTGAAGTGTTTTTATCTTAGTTCCAAATTGGTTTTAGTATTTCATTACTCCTTGATATAATATCATTTGTTTTTCTTTAATTGTTATGACCTTAGTGCATTCTTATATGTATTTTAGAGCTTATAATATTTCTTTGCATATAAAGGCACATATGGGCACTAAAGGTGAAACATGTGATCCTTGGTTTTCTCTTGGAAATCAAGGTAAAGAATTTGAAAGAGGGTATACACAACATATCAAAATACCTTCTTCAATGGCTAGAAATCAAGAAACTGAATACAAGAAATCTCCTTGTGGTTATAACAACATAATGGGAAATCAACAATTTCAATCTGGAAGCTCTTCTTTGATGATGCCTTTGAGTATGATGACACCTCAAGAAAAGATTGAAAAACTAAGGAGGCGTCAACAAATGAGGGCATTGTTGGCTATATGTAAACAACAACAAGAGTTTAGACAAAATTCAAGTATCACAAGTTGTTCAAATGAAAGCCAAATTGATGAAAATTTAAGCACTCTTGTGATGAACACAAGTTCATTGGAAGATGCCATTTTACATCAACTAGAAAATGTCGTTTCAACGGTAAATAATATTATAAGAGAACTTAAATATCATCCTAGTTATCTTCCTACCTATGTGAAATGGTGACAAGTGTCATATTTTGATAAAATTACTAATATTATAAGACACTTGTTATCATTTCACATGGGTAGGAAGAAAAGTAGGAGGATATTTAATTTCTCATATTATAATATATAATGGTAGTTTTTGTTATGATGGAATCAGGGAAAGAATGGAATGGACTATTTTTAAAGAAATGAGATTCCTTCCATTTTGTTATTTTTTTTTCTTTTTTGTGAAAGGCATTATGTTAATTTTCATTCATTAGCTTGGGGGTATAATTTCTACTCCATCATGGATAGGAATGCAGAAATTGGAATATAACCCATTTTTATTAACAACTATTTTTCTAAAGTTTTCATGATTTTAGTTGAAGTATAATTTTATATTTTGAAATAGCTATAAAATATATTTTACCATAACTATAATCTTATTTGGGTTTCAATGAGCTATTATTATGTTTTCCTTTTCATATTTGTAAATAAAAGTTCATTATTCTTAATTTAATTATGCTATTTTAATGAAAAGTGTATTTCTAAACTTTTCATGATTTTAATTCGATTTTAATTCAATTATAATTTTATTTCTTGAAATAACTATTTTTTTTATTGTAACCTTAATTCAATTATAATTTTATTTCTTAAATTTTCATGACTTTTAATTGAATTATACTTTTATTTTCTAATATAATTTGAAAAATATTCTTTATTATAATCTTATTTGGCTTTTAATAAACTTTTATTATGCTTTTATTTTTTCTTGTTTGTATATACAAGTTCATTAATTATAATTACATAATGTATGGAGTAGACTTAAAACTAAACATTCTATTTGCATAAATATAAAAAAAATCCAAATGAAAACTCATTCCATTCCTACAGACAAACCAAACATGATTATGGAACGTAATGACTCATTCCATTCCATTCCATTCCTTTGTCATTCCATTCCATCAATACAAAAAAGATTTGTGAGGGACTGATGAAGAGGTATTTTTCTTTCAGTTAGGCATTCAAATAAGGCTTTGTATAAGAGATAGTTTGTTTCGATTAGCTCAAAATGCTTTACAAAGGAAATATGTAATTAGCTCCAATGAACAAGTACCTAATGTTGTCACTCAAGAAAGATTAGGTGAAACAAAGAGGTTAGTTACATACTCCTTTCTTGTTATCACTAATGATCAATATCTCATTTTCAATTTGTTGTATAAGGTTAAGTATTCATTAGAGGGTTTTTTTTTTTTTTTTTTTTTTTTTTTTTTTTTTTTACATGTATAAACTATAATCCAAGCATTGTGAACACCTAATTCATCTTCTAAATATAAGGGGGTGTTTGGTTGGCATGATGTTTTTGGAAAGAATGGAATCTATCAAAAGAATTGGAATTGAAGGGAATTGGAATATGAAAGATTTGTAATTTGTCATGCGTTTGATCGATAGGAAATGATATGGAATTCAAAACTAAAAGTTGAATATAGTTAACTTTTTTACTTATAATTAATTTTTTAGTTATTTGGATATATACAATGAGGGTTTTGGTCTTATAATAATAAAAAAAGGAAGAATGGAATTGAATTCATGGAATTTGAAGGAATGTGACGGAATTGATTTCCATCCATTTGCATCCATACATACCATGGAATGGAATCTTGAATTCCTATTCCTTAAGATTCTTCCGAAATTCACAAAGTGAAATATTAAAATATGATGCTTGGGTAAATTCTTTTTAAATATAAGGAGAAACTAAAGGAATCATGGGAAAGATTTATTTAGTCTTAGTTACTAATTTATCATTCTTTATTTTTTTTTTATTTGAGAAATGTATCTGCATATTCTTTCAATGACAGCTCAGCAAGAAAGACTGATGGAGAGACAAAGACAAATCCAATAGACCGCATTGTGGCTCAATTGCTTTTTCATAGGCCACCTGAGTTATCTGGAGAACATCTGCAATCACAAGGGTAATTCCATCTTTTACACCTCCAGTTTTTTTTTTTAGCATTTAATAATATCTTTATAGGGTTAAATGTGTGTTGTGTCACCTTTTTCCCAGTATGCATCACATGAGTTGTGTATCATAAAATATGCAATAATGCTTCATTTTAAGACCAAAAGATGCAACATTTTAAGTGAAAATGAAACTACTTTGTTGCATAAAATGAAGGGCTAGACTTTTCATTGTAGAATGTCTTAATAAAAAAAAAAGAGAAAATTACTGAAATCGTCCCTATGGTTTGGTCAAAATTGCACGTTTGGTCCCTAACTTTTTTTTTTGCACTCGGATCGTCCCTGTGGTTTGATTTTGTTGCGTTTTTTGTCCCTTACATACATAAAGTTAGGGACCAAACGTGCAATTTTGACCAAACCATAGGGACGAAAAACGCAACAACATCAAACCACATGGACGATCCGAGTGCAAAAAAAAAAGTTAGGGACCAAACATGCAATTTTGACCAAAATATAGAGACGGTTTTAGTAATTTACTCTAAAAAAAAAGTATTGTATGGATTCTTAGTGTTTGTTCTCATTTTTCTCTCAGCTGAGTAAAATCCTTTCGGGTACGATTATCTTGAATAGTGGAAGCCTACACCTCATTGATTATTTAAGTATTGTAGAATTTTCCTACTATTCTAAAAAAAAAAAAGTATTGTAGAATTCGACTTATTTCAAAAAGGTGTATTTGTATTTGTATTTGTTGTGGAGAGGCGAAGCCACTTTACTTAAACTATGAAGTTGATTTTTGTTACGCGTATATGTCTTTTACTCGATGTGTATAACATAGAAACTACATAATAGTTTTTGTGAGTGTTAAATATTTGTTAGACACGATCGATTTGATGAAATATATGTATTTTTACCTAGTTGAAACTTGTAAGGTTTATAATAGGTTTTCATTGAGGTCACTCAAAAAATAAAGAGTTGAAAGTTTTTTTTAGGTCATCTGGTATACTTATCACTGCCACAAATGTGGTGGGGATGTGGGGGGTCATGTAGGAATGTAAAATAGTCCGGACTGGATCTGAAAAAAACTTGAAAATGAATAAGCCGTGGACTAAGAATTTAGAACCGGACTGAATATCACTAACTGGTTCTTGTTTAGTTTTTCAGTTAACAAGCTCATCCCTAATGTTATGTCACTACTATCTTATAATAACACAAACACCACATGAGCTAGGTATAATTACTACTACATTTTTTTCAATATAAAAAAATTAAATAATGAAATTGAAAAAACAAATTTAAAAATATGAAGAAATAGAGATGTCTAAAAGGAAAAGTCATCAAATGCTTTTCATTGGGTGTGGTCAGTTGTGATGAGGACAACGATGGACCACATCACAACCACTACAATGAACACGGGACGGTGTGTATGATAGTGGTGGGCTGTCATAATGACAACGAAGGTCTTTCGTGAAAGATGTCGGATAGTATTAATGCAATTATGTTTTCCGTTTTACATGATTTATGGAACAAAACTGGTTTTCTACATGAAATATGCAACTACCTTTTGTTTTAGAATCAAAATATGCAACACTGGAACTGGCTTATTTTATTTATTCAAATTTCATGTTGCACATTTACTATGTGTGTGTGAAATAATTTCATTCAAACACATTTGCTATATTGATCTTCAAAATTTGATGTATCACTGATCTTTTACACAATAGCACAACAACCCTTCTTCATTTTCTTATTGCAGCTCCAGTTCATCAACTTATTGTCTCTACTCTCTCTACCTTGTTTGCCTTTATGTTATATGATTATGATTATAATCTACAAACAAAGCATTTAAAATAAGTTCAAGAACAAGATTGACTAAATATGATTAATATATCCTATTACCAAAAGTAATGTCGCATCCAACGAACGAAACAACAATCTCCATATTATTTTAGTACCGTTAAGAGTTATTTTAACAATATTGTTACAAATATAGAATACTACAAATGAAAAAATGAACATCTTTTTTCCTATGTCAAATTCTATCCTAAAAAAATTGGTTTCATTTGATTTCATATTTAACTATTTTCAAGGTATTTCACTTTCAATTATATCACTTTCATCTATGTTCATCAACACTTTCTTCTGTACAAAATAACTGCACGATCTCTATCAATGTCCATCCCTTTAAATACAAAAAGTTTTATTCTTCACACATAAAAATCATCGATTGCTTAGAAAAATCAACTTAACTATAAAAATTTAACCTTGTAATTTGTAATTTGGACAGACATGAAATTGTCTTCATGGGTTTTGATATGTTCATTAAGTTAACTCCCAAACCTCACTTTCACCTACATGGAGATTGATGTTTGCATGTGGTGAGGAGGAGAAGATAAGCAAGTCTTGAACGCTCGAAAAAGGTAGAATTAAGGATGTTTGGGATTGCTATTGTTTAAAATGATGGCATATTATTAAAACTAGTAAGAAGCTAGATAAAAACAATAGCAAGAGATAGGTTGTGCACCCAACCAACCCCATTCATTTTGCACTTTTATGTCTATTACAAATCCATAAGAATGAACAAGAAACAATGTCATCAAAAATGTATGCTTTCTTTAGTTTAGCCGGTCCAAAAAGATGAGCACCAAAAAATTAATAATAAATCACTTCGTCAAAGCACTTTCTTTGTGTAGTATGGAGATGCACATGATCTACCCAACCTAATCGACATATTGGTAGGTGGAACAATCCCCTACCAGCTACCAACAAGGGTCCAAAGTCGCAAAGTATGAGAATACTCAAAACATGTGCATCATCTCAATGTCATCGAGACGAATATAACATAAAACAGAGTCCATTTTCCATGATTTCCTCATGAGGGGAAGTACTTTTTAGAGATGGTAGGAAGGGTATCTACATGAAATATAAACTATCTTATTCTTGGATTTCCTCGTTTGGTTCAATGAATAATGTGAAAAAGAAGATAAAGAACTTTAATGAGAAAACAACAAGGCTCAATCAAGAGAAATATGATGTGGTGTTTGCGTAGTTCCTTTAATAAGGTGCTATTTGTTTTTTCCGAGGCAAAATGTCCGCAGTCTGCGGACCACATCTGTAGACCTTGTAGACCTTTGTAACAGAAGAAGTGGACCAAACGTCTGCAGTTTGAAAAAAGAAAACTGTTTGTTTTTTTAACATCTACAGACTACTAAAATAAACTAAAATCTAAATAAACTGGTTTTTTAAACTACAAAGTGATTTTTTTTTAATATATTTATGACTTTGTTATAAATAATTAACACATCTAAATCAACTTTATGTATTATTGTATAAAAAGCGAAAATAAAAATGGTACAAATTAACGTATATATTTAATAAAAAACAACAAATTTTGGTCGCAAAGTTATGGCTAAACATTGTAATTAGGAATTAAAGAATTTGATATACAAATGAATGGAAGAAAACTTCAATGTTTTCAATTAAATCAATTAAAAACGTGCAATAATTATTTTTTCTAAGAAATTGACGATGCTTTATTAAATAATATTTTATAAAATTTGGTACAAAAAATATGAGAATATATTTTTTTTTCATATTTATATAAACAACTTCAACGATCATTATTTTAATAAACATTTATTTATAAATATGTCAAAAACATCATGCTTGTGTCGTCGAATTTTTTTTTAAGCATTGTAATTTTTTTTTTCAAATTGTTTATCACTAATAACGTTGTAATAAACATAAATTAAAAAAAATAAAGTATATGTGTTTTTTTAGGCTAGAAGATGTCTGAAGATGTTAGAAGACTTTGGTCTACATCTGCGGCAAGAAGAGGACGCACATACATTTTTAGGTCTGCAGTCTTCAAAAAAACAAATAGTCTGCAAAAGCTAATATCTGCGCGTGGTCTGCGCTGCGCAGAAGAAGAGGTCAGAAAGATCTGCGGATAAAAAGCAAACACCACCTAAGTAACCCGGAGAATTTTCCTGTAGAGTATTATGAAACCTTTGGTTACTAAGGTGCTGTTTGTTTTTTCTGAAGCAAAATATTTGCAGTTTGCGGACCACATCTGTAGACATATGCAGTAGAAGAGGTGGACCAAATGTCTGCAGTCTGAAAAAAGAAGACTGTTTGTTTTTTTAACATCTGCGGGCTACTAAAATAAATTGAAATCTACATAAAGTGATTTTTTTAAACTTCGAAGTGATTTTTTTAATATTTTTATGATTTTGTTATAAATAATTAACGAATATAGATCAACTTTTGTGTATTATTATATAAAAAAATAAAAATAAAAATGATATGAATTTACGTATATATTTGATAAAACCCAACAATTTTGCTTGCAAAACTATAACTAAACATTATAATTAGTGCTCAAAGAATTTGATACATAAATAGATGAAAATAAACTTCGATTTTTTCAATTAAATCCATTAAAAATGTACCATAAATATTTTCTCGAAAAATTGACGATACTGTATTAAATAATGTTTTATAAAATTTGGCAAAAAAATATAAGAATATATTATGATTTTTTTTCATATTTATATAAACAAGTACAACGACTATTATTGTAATAAATTTTTATTGATAAATTTGTCAAAAATATCAGTTTTTTTTTTTTTTCAAATTGTTATCATTAATAAAGTTGGAAAAAATATAAATTAAAAAAAAAAAACTTGAAAAAATTAAAGATATATATGTTTTTTTAGGCTAGAAGATGTCTGAAGATGTTAGAAGACTCTGGTCCACATCTGCGCCAAGAAGAGGGCGCGCAGACATTTTTAGGTCTGCAGTCTTCAAAAAAACAAACAGTCTGCGAAGGCTAATGTCTGCGCGTGGTCTGCACGGCGTAGACCGAAGAGGCCACGCAGATCTGCAGACAAAAAACAAACACTACCTAAGACTATGCCTATTGGCGACAAAAAAGCTCTTCGGTCATCAAAATAATATTAAAAAATACAAAAATTGTAACAAATCCCACCGAGAAAGTGGTTGTATCAACCAGCAAGTTGGTAATTTCTTTTCTCTATTTTAAACCATGTGTCCTCATAACAATTAAAACTGAGATTTTTATAGGATAAAATAGTATATCTAATAAAATTTAACATTATCCATTTTAGAAAAATAAAAAAATACTAAAAAACATAACTTTTTTTATCTATAAAAAGAGTATGATATCATATATCTTCATATCCAATCCTCATTTTGTATTTTTAATTCCGTTTGATTTGTATTCTCTAAATAAGGATGATGAGTTTCCAAAATTTTATATAAATCTTGGAGACTTTCAAAATTGTTCTAATGCTCAGTATTATGAAAAATCTACATTTTTTTTTTTAAATCCCAACTAAGATTATGTCACAAATAATCTTTAAACATCACAAAATACTAAAAAACAACCACGAATGGGATGTTATAGAATATGTCGTTTTAATGTCAGCATGGTGTTTTGTTAGTGAAGATATGAAACGTAGAAAAAACATCATTGTGGGCACAAATAAAAGAATTGTATAATGTCGCTCGGATTGAAAATCCAGAAAAGATAAATACCAGGAACGATGATCAAATGAGATGTCATTTTAAACGACTTAGTGAAAATGCACAAAAGTGGGTTGGTTTATATTGGGAGGTATAACATCGAAGAAGAAGTGGAATGAGTCAAAAAAGATATTGAGAACGAATCTGTTTATGAGGCAAGTAGGAACAAGTTTAACAACATTATTGTTTTTAATGGAGTTATGTGTAAACACGAGAAGTGGGCTTTAGAGTTATATTGTGACACAACACATTCTTGTCCTGAATGTGGAATGGGTAACGAAGAAAGTGGTGGTAGCACGAAAAGATCGGAAACGCCAACTAGTGATGGTTCAACAGTTAAACGCCAAACAGGCAAAGATGCAGCTAAAAAAAGGAAAATGTAAGGCCTCTAATGAAATTGCTATAGAACTTTGTTCAATGAGGTTTGCTAGAGAAAGTGAACATGAAATCACGAAAAAAGGAATCTACTTGGATAAAGAAAGGGAGCAAAAACTAGATGAAATGGAGTAAATGAAGATGCAACTTGTGCATTTGAACTCACTGCTATAAAATGAGCAATTATCACTTGAAGAAGAAAACCTGAAATGCTTTCTAATGTCAAAGTTTTATGGAAATTAATTACCATTCATTATGTGTTTTTTTTTCTTCAGTTTGTCTTATTTGTAAGATATTTTATTATGTAGTTTTGTGTGACATGTATTTGCTACTTTTGTATTTTACATATTTGTAATATATTCTATGAATTAATGTTGTTGTTTATAAATCTTTTTTGCACATGGATTTGTCGTAGGCCACTTGCGTACTTTGTCATCTACCAAATCGAATATTATTTTCATTTCCACATGTCAAATTTGTATCAAATGTTTAGAAATTATTTAGATAAACCAATTTAACGTTATCTTTATTTATTATGAAAACTCATCAAGTTCGAATGGATATTCAGAATGAGAAGCACAAGTTGTTCAAAATAATCGACAACTCGATGAAATCATCACTAAATTACTCATAGGATATCATCCTCCCAGAGAAAGAAGGAGGTATTGTGATCAAGAAT